AAGCTAATGTGTGTCAAAACTGACTCTTTTTCTGCCAACATTCCCCTTCATCCAGCTTTCCATTTTTACAACATTTCCCATCTGCATATGTTGCTTTGCTTTAGCCCATATGCTATGAATGGTTCTGGTGGAACATTAAACTGGGTAGCCAATTCTGTTATCACACCCCACTGAAGTTTGCCTTCAACAACCTCACCCAATAACCTGTCAATTATCTTGATTCGAGTTCCAGAGGACAACTTAGGCCATTTTTTGTGGTATGGTCGACTGGATCCCCCCCTTCCCCCTCTGTTTCCTCATTTAAGTCAATGACACAAGTGAGTAATGATGTGTTTTGTCCTGCAGGTTCACCTTCAGATTCTTCTTCAGAAAGTGGGTCCGCACTTGGTTGGGCAGAAAGTATAATGGCAGAAGACTCCATTAAAGAAGGAAAAAAGTAAATGAAGATTTATATTTTTAGAAGTAGTTGGATCTTTTTAATTAGTGTAATGAATGTGTTGTATTTATAGGTAGAAGTAGTAGTGTACTTGTAAAAGTTGAGTTTTGGATGGAAACAAAATATTCACTCCTTAATGGCAACAGTCTGTCCGCAACATTCAATGGAAAGGTCTCCATTTTTTACTATGAATAGTAGGGGGTAACTTACTTTTGGGGGTATAAATGGAAATTCAAAACAAAAAAAATCCGCTTTCTTAAAAACCGTAAAGTCAAACACCGAAGATTATTTAGGACTTGCGGGAGTATAACACAAAAAACAAACATACAAACGAAGAGGGGAATTCAATACATACAAATGAAGAGGGGAATGGACATCCATTTAGTATTTTTTGAGAGGGGAATGGACATCCATTTAGTACTTTTTATGAAACATTTAAGGTTCTTTGTCCTGAATATTACAAAAATGAGGCTAAAAGACAAAAAAGAGACATCTTTTTTTTATTTCCAAAAATATGACCAACCTCACAATTATACCCTGCAGAACAAAGTGACTCCGGCCAAAGTGACTTCGACCACAGTAACTCTAGCCACAATGACACGCCGACTCCATAGGTGGCAACACCATAGTCGTTGTCCCATCGCCGCCAACACCACAGTCATCGCCCCTACCCCAACGTACCCCAATCGTAGTCCCCCTCACCTCCACCCCTTACCAGATACCCATGCGTAGCCCCGTCCACTACTCCCCTCCATAATTCCCCAGCTGCCTCCCACTGCCATGACCTGCCACGCCCTAGTGCTTCCCAAACCCCAGTCTATACTTGTACAAAAATGCTAAAGGTACCCCAATTGGTACTCCAATTCGTACCCTCACCCTATTTTTGTGGCTCACAAAAGCACCTCATTAAAGTGGGGCAATTTATTTATTGAGGTGGGCTTTTGTGAGCCACAAAAATAGGTTGAGGTACAATTTGGGGTACCAATTGGGGGTACCTATAGCAGGGTTGATACTTGTAACCTAAAGCCACGCTACCCAAGCCCACCCTGCACTTGCCCGTCTCTAGCGGCCATCCTCCTGGGACCCTATCAGCCTAGCCCCGCTCCGATGGCCACCCTGTCACGCCCCGGGCCTATCCGGACACGTCAACAACTCGCCGTACAGTACGAATAGTCAACCGCAGTCCGACTCATCCATACTATACAAGGCGTCTTGAATACCATTCACACATAGTACATCCATAAACAAGCATAATGTAAAATATTCATTTAAGCAGAGGAAACATTTAATACAAGTGTTTATGCCACACTCGGCAAACATGGGCATACAAGCCCCCGAATGATTATTCAAAAATAATATCCATGAGCATTATTTAGATTGTTTTCAAAACAGAAACGGAAGAAGCACGAACCACGTCTTCTTCCCTTGATCTCCCCGAAGCAACGGGGGGTGGCAGCAACTCTTCAAGTTCTACCTGAAACTGTGAGGTGGCCTCCCCCGTGAAGGGGAGGTCAGTACTTGGAAGCATTTGACAAGTACAATGACAACTATACTAAGTATAATCAATGTTTCAATTTCTTAAGACCCTCAAATAAAGTGATATTATATCGTAGGCCGTAACCCCCGGTTACCCTGTTTTATAAATATACTTACTTTATATAAATTCAAGTAGTCGGCCCGTGGGCCCATATTCATTTAGAATTTACCATTTTCACTTTCCGTGACCATGAGTCACGACAACCCCATAGGGTTCCCTCAAGTCCCGATTGTATAGCAAGGGCTCGGCCCAACTACATTTCTATACAATCCTTTAACTCAATTTAATATATCTAAATTTGTATGGCAAGGGCTCGGCCCAACTACGTTTCCATACCAACCATAACTTCATGGCAAGGGCTCGGCCCAACTACGTTTCCATGAAGATCACAATGCATGGCAAGGGCTCGGCCCAACTACGTTTCCATGCTAATCACGTTACATGGCAAGGGCTCGGCCCAACTACATTTCCATGTAATCCTAGAGTCCGACTCTAATTTATTTTCATAGCTCAATTCTCAAGCAAATCCTATGCCTAGAATCAATTCACTTGGATAGCCTTTAGGCCTACCCCTAACACACCTTAGTGTTCATACAATTCGACCTTAAAGCATCTCTTAAGACTACTTAAGGCATATCTATTCACAATCCTATCTCTTAGGATTAATTCCATCATTTATTTATATAAATCTCCCGACTAGTATTTCGATACTAGTCGAATAACCTTAGAACAACCAAGTTCTAAATTCATAACCAAATAGTTTATCTCAATTGATTTTCCAATCCAAATATGATTTAATCCCAATATCAAAAATATCACTTTTATCCATTCATGAATTTCATACATGAAGCAAAAGTATATTTTATCACAATTTTCATAGTTAATTCCATTACCATACCATTTCTTTCATATCACATAATCATACACAATCTCTTACAAATTTGTATATTATGCTCTTTTCCTTATAGACAATAGTCTTCTCATTCTTAGGCATTATTAATCATTAATAATCCTTAAAAAACATATTTAATTACCTTAGGTAATCTCATGAAATTAACCCAAAGATTATACGCAATATAGTCAGCCATCCTCACCTTATGATGTGCTGAAATAGTTGCCTTTGTCAAGCCCTCCGATTAATCCCCGTTCTAAACCAATTGGAGATGAAAAATCTGGGCAGCAGATGAAAGCCGGGCGGCTTTCGTGAAAGGTGGGCGGCTTTCGTGGTCTGCAGCTACGAACAGCTCCCTTAAAGTGGCGGTTTCTGACGATTTCGACTCCTATCGATTCACCAACTCTTCTAAGTTAATTATCACCACTTTATAACAATATAATACACTTTTAAACGTGTAGAACTCATGGTTTAATCCACCATATGATTTCTTAAAAATCATACACCATAAAACTAGTTAAGAGATTGTTTGTTGAGTTCTTACCTCAACACAACCCTTTTCTTCTTGAATTTCCTTTGTTGATGCTTCCTTCAAGCTATGGATGGTGTGAAGACTTTTCCCTTGAGCTCTCCTCTCCCTTAGCTTGTTCGAATGGTTGCAAGAGAGTGGGTGAGTTTCCTCTTCAATCACTCACCCAATGAGTGAGCAAATGGGGACATAGGGGTGTGGGTGTTTGTCTTGCACATCACCTCTCACATAAGTCCGCCCCAAACCATGCTAACTTGTCTCCTCCCAATTATTTTGGGAGTTATTTGACTGATAGAGTATCTCAAGTGGGTGTAGAAAGTCCCTCCCAATTATCCCTGGTATTTTTAGCAAGTTGGGTCAAAATAGCACTCGGGTTGTCCAAACATTTTTATCAACTCGGTTGGCACTTTATTGGGCTCCTATCATTATCATGATGACCCAACTAAATATTTGGTAGCCCATTTGCATATACTGGACCCGATAAATAATTTAATTAATCGTGTATTAATTAAATGTACCCATTCTGTCACACGAATTTATTCGCTTGGAAAATTCAATTACATGTCGAATTTCAAATTCAAGTACATACGGGCGCGGTGTCACACACCCTCTAGAACCCAGCAGCCCAGCCCCCTCTCCATTCCCTCAGCAATACAGATCTGAAAAAGTTGACAATCATTTCCACAGATCTAAAAAACTAGCTCCACTATCAAAGATTTGAAAAGCTACCCGCATTCACCTTCTCCGCGAGATCTCAGAGATGTCGACTTAACTGTTCTAGATTGCAAGTCTCATGTGAATCATCTTCGTTCATGGTGAAAGTGTTTCCGATGGGTGTATCTGTGCTTCATAAATCGTTAATGGAGTCGACGCCAACGTGGCTTGGTAAAAAAAGAGAGACGACGAAAGTTTAACCGGGATAGATTGATGCTTCGCTGGGAGTGAAAATGGAGAAGGCGAGAGAACTTCGATGCTTCGCTGGGACCTGGGAGAGAAGATGGGGACGACGAGATCTAGGCTGCTTTGGCTGGATGGGGGCTACGGAGGACTTGCAGAGGGATGCAGGGGACGTGCATCAGCAATTTGTAATTGACCAGTGAAGGCCTCATGAAGGCGACAAAAATGCGTGTGGAGGTGAGACGACGAAGTGGTACGACAAAGAAAATAATCATATTTCTAAAAAATATAAAAAATTATCGAAAGACATTTATACTTGAAATACACATGTCATTATTTCAACATTGAATAATAATCAAAACAAATAAGTTTAGAGTTACTTTTTTTACTGTAAAAGACATTAACTATTTTCATGCAAATGTTTGTTAATTTTATTAATAAATTACACAAAGTATTTTAAATATAATTTTTTATAATTCAACAAAATCAATCACTTGAGACAAAATTTTATAAATGTCAAATTTTCATCAGATTTAATCGATTGTAGTTTTACCAAAAGCCCTAAATAATGCTAATACCATTTAATGAACACCGCTTTTTACACGTTCAATGAAGACGGGACAACGAATTAGGACATGATCACACTACTACCGATTATTAATTTACTGGCCCATTGAGAGTCCTTATTCCCTACCTTATATTCCTCTATTCATCTTCAACTTTTGCATTAAAGTCCACCCTCACCTCCTTTCACACCCAAGCCAGCAGGCAGGGCTGCCATCCATCTCTGCCCTTTTTTATGCCACTGCCACCTCTCCAACCCCTCCTCCCCTCTCCTTTCCATCTCATCTCTCTCTAAAAAGATCCAGATCCAATTGGGAGGGTTTTTTCATGCCAAACTCTCACTAGCTCTCCTAGTCTTGAGGTTATTTAAGCAGGCAGCAGGTACATATGGCTCCACTTCAAGGCTTCCCAGCCAGTTGCAGAGGTTTCTTAATTAAGGTACTACCAGTACTTCTCCTTCTCTTAGTCTCATCATTCCTTGCTCAGGTCCATTCCCATAGCAATGATGAATTCACTAGCAGTAGTGATAGACATCTTAGTCCTACAAGAAGAAAATTGTTGGAGGTTGATGAGGATGAAGATCAACCCCCTGTCAAGATCAAGAAAACTAGTAGCACCCTCACACTCTCCTCCTCCAAAAACAAGACCAAACTCCTTAAACCAACTTCATCTAGTACTAGTACCACTTCCAAGAACAACCAAACCAATAAGGTTCTTAAGACAGGGTCTGGATTTGGCTCAACCAAGAATCAAACCAAAGTCAAGCTTTCCTCAATCCTGAGTTCCTCCAAGAACAAGACTAAGCTTCTCAAGACAGTCTCAGAATCAGCTAAGCTGGATAAAATTCCCATCAGCAAGAACCAGACCAAGAAGCTGATAGATAAAATTCCTGTCGGCAAGAACCAGACTAAGAAGATAATGGATAAAACTCCCCTCGGCAAGATTCAGATCAAGAAGCTGAATTCAACTTCATTGAAAACCTCAAACTCAACAAAAACCACCAAGAAGTCCTCAGATCTGGCCAAGCTTAACTCATCCTCTTCCTCCAAGAACAAAACCAGTTCAACCAAAGAGGCCAAATCCAATCAGTTAGAAAAACCAAATCCCAAATCAAAGCCCCAAACGAGCACCAAACCGACTGAAACCTCAAAGTCCGCCAAACCGGAATCCGCGAAGAAGATCTCAACCTCCAGCGAGAAGCCATTCGGGATCGACGACGAACAGGATGACTTGATCTCGGACTTCAGAGACATGCCATCGAAATTCCAGCAAACGCTCCTCCCAGATTTGGAGCGGATCTCCAAAACCTCCAAAGTCTACATCAACAAAGCGAACAGAGAAATCACGAACAACTTCAAACCCTACGTGGGGAACAAGTACGCATCCACCGCCGCCGCATTCATCTCCTTCGCATTCATCGTCATTCCTCTGATCCTCGTTTCTCTCGTATTCAACCGCTTCAAAGCCTACTTCTCCCTGCAAAAGCTACTGATCTTCGTCCAGATCTACCTCTCCATATACTTCTCCATACTCTGCCTCTCCTCACTGGTCACTGGGCTGGAGCCGCTCAAGTTCTTCTACGCTACATCGCAGTCCACCTACATTTGCATACAGCTCCTCCAGACGCTCGCTTACGTGTTGTACCTCCTGATGCTGCTGATGTACCTTGTACTAGTCTTCTCAACTGAGACCGGGCCGTCCTCGAAGATGATCGGGTTGGGCCAGACGGTCGTGGGCTTCGCCGTTGGGCTGCATTACTATATGGCCGTGTTCCATCGGGCCGTGTTGCGGCAACCGCCCAAAACGAGCTGGAGGGTCCACGCGATTTACGCCACGTGTTTTCTGGCGATTTGTCTGTTGACTCAGGCTGAAAGGAAGAAGAAGGCTTATTTAGAAGAGGGCGGAGAGGAGGGGAAGAAGAGCTGATTTTTGTGACATTCTTTTTCTTTCCGTTATGGGCAAAAAGGGAAATGTACGTTCAATTCCTTTTATATTTATCTTTTACACAAATGTAATTTATTTTATAATCATTGCTCCACATATGGAGTATTATATCTTTCATGTTATAAATCAATGCATAAATGGTGCAAAAGCATCTGGAGTTTAGACCAATTGCTAAAAGAGCCACAAACTTTAAGGAGTAATGTTTTTCACATTGTTTTACCTTGCATGTATCTTTCAATGTAAGGAGTTAAGAGAAGTATACATATACTAGGGGGGATCTATGAATATGCGGGAGCATTTTTTCTTGAATCAGATCTGATAAATTAAATTGGAATCCTATATATTGTTCTATTATTTTCAATTCATCGTTTAAGAACTCATATTAAAAAAAAGCATCATATAAAAGTATCCTTACTTGTAAAATATAACCAATCAAACTGTTTTGACCGACTATAGTAGATTATTTTAAAAAATAAATTAGGACTATTGATAAATTTTTTAAAAATTCATATAATTTTTTATAAATAATGTTATAATAATAATATAAAAATAGATAATAAATGTAAAAATAGATAAATAATTTTAAAAAAATAGATACAAAATCAAAAAATAAAAACTGAAGAAATAAAGTGAAAATGTAAAAAAGAAAATCTAAAAACTTTTTAAACGATGTAGAATATACAAATAGCTCAAAAATGAAAAATATTGACTTTATAATTTTGTACAATTTTAATCTAATTTTCCTTAAATTTTAACAATTTTTTTAAATTTTTTAATCAATAGGTCAAAAACTTATTAACTGTCGATCAATATTTTAATCAAAAGTACTGATATGATACTTTCTCCTAGAAAGGTTTTCGTTGATGGAATGAAAATAATAGAAAAACTTAACTGACCCTTTTCTTTAATAGAAAAACTTACTCCGGAAATGCCAATCAAAATGCCACTCTTACTCTTAAGAAAAAATTGTATTTTCTTTTGAAAATGTCATTCAAATGGCACCCTCAATGTTGGCATAAATGGCGGCTTCTAACAGATCTGTAGCGGCGGAGGTCGAATCTGCAACGGCAGCCAGACCTGCAGGGGCGACGGACAACGGTAAACATATCTAGCTAGATCTATGACAGAGGCAGTCAAACTTGTAGCGACGACAATCAGATCTACAATGGCAGTTGCAAGATCTGCTTCGGTGACCGGCTGCGGTATGCCATTCTATTGGCCGCTATGGTTTTTGTTAGGCTTCAAGAGTATTTCCGTCCAACTACAAATAGTACTCCTATTTGGATAAATTTAAACTTGATTCTTATTTTAAGAATTAAAGATTTAATCATTTTACATTAGGGGTGCAAATGTGAAATTCAGTTTGCGTCGATATATATTGGTGACCGACGTTATGGATTTGTCGGTGGGCTGTGTATGGCAATTTGCCACTTAGCAACGTGGCAACAGAGAGAAAGTAGCGATCACTCACAAAGTCGATCTGGATGGACCTTGGTCGTCACATTAAAATCATTGGTGGTGCTCAGTGCTCTCTTGAGATATTTATTGATTGTGTCTTTTTTAATGCAAAATTGCTTATATTAAAACAACTAAATCAAATATCATCAAAATAAATTCAAGATAATTCTAGTTCCGATCAAAAGCTCAATGATTAAATTTAAGGTATGTTTGGCGGACATAAACTCATACCTTCTAATTTTGTACTCCCTACTAAGAAGTTTTTGCTTTCTTTTTTAGCAATCCAAAAAGAAGTTCTCATTTCCTTAAATGGAGAGTAATTTACATTAAAACAGAGTCAAACAGTGTTGAAACAGTGTCAAAACAGTAAAATTTACCCCTTCATAAGTTTATTTCCTTAATATGTGTGTGATTCAAATCGAGAACTTCTAAGTGGGAGGAAGGGAGTACTATTTAAAAAGTTCTTAAAAGCTCCTGATTGTATATTTGACATGCTAATTTTTAAGAGTTTTATAAAAGCAATAGATCTGTTTGAGATGCTACAGTAGTCTATAGCTTTTAGTATAATTAGTCTCGACAGCTTATATAACAAATAGAACTAAATCAAAGAGTAGGTTTTTTATCAAACAGCTACTGTTTTTTTCTTCTTTTACGAGCTTTCCACTCATTAAAACTATTCGTTACTAAAACGCTCATAAAAGTATCTTTTCAGTTAGGTGTGCTAAACATGACCTTAGACCTTAACACACACAAATGAGCCGCAAAATCGTTAATCATGTAACGGACAAATGAAAGCTTAATTTGATCAGGATCTCTATGCTTCTAACATGGTATGAAACGAACGAACAAAAAGTAATACAAAGTGCATAAATAAGCAAAACTGTAAATATGGTTTAAAATAATCATCCTTGTCCAATCATGTAGTTGTAGCGCCCTCACCTGATTCCAATAGATCTGCAGGTATGTCACGCTCGACATAACATCAATGGGTTTTATTCCAATTTGAAATGCACCAGTCGGATAAAATATAGAATCACCCTTTCCATCAATGGTGGTGGTTCGGGAGGAGGCGAGCCACCGATAGACGACTAGAGAAAAAGATGACTTATGAGAAAAGTAGATCTATGCCTAAAAGATCGAGTGACTTCAATAGCAACTAAACAATAATAAAGCATCTTGTAGCAACTCGTGTTGCTAATTTTTTTTAAACACTACTGTCAAATGAAAGAATAATAACAACCCTAGACACACTAGGGAACAAACCACCGCTCATATGAGCACCAAATCGCTTTTTTGACATTATTCAGGCAAACAAGGAGATGAGAACTAACACATTAAATTATTTTTACTAGGTTTAATTTATTCTTCTCCACTAAATTAGTTTTTACTAGGTTTAAATTTAGGAAAAAGTAAAGAAAAGGTACATGTGGTTTGGTCCGTTTTTCAGATAAGGGCATGCGTTTCATTTTTTTTTAACAAAATGAGACATGTGTTTGAATTCCGTTTTTACAGCTGGGGCATGGCGTCTAACGTTAGAAAAATTAACTCTGATTTTCAAGTGTCTGAAAAATTAACACAAAAGTAATAGGAGGTGTGTCTCGTCAAGAAGACTTTGAGACTATCTTTCTTATTTGTTTCCATCCGACCTATCGCCAGAAAGTCCACCGGAAAAGTGATATTAGCTGATTTTTTTTAAATAATCCAAATTGAGCCGAAAACCCCAAATAAAACGATAGTTTGTTGGTCTCCTTGACGAGACGCACCTCCCAATATTTTTCTTTTAATTTTTTGGAGACTTTTGAAAGTCGGAGTTAATTTTTCTAACGGCGTTAGACGTCATGCCCCAGCTGTGATAACAGAATTAAAACACATGTTCCACTTTGTTAAAAAATGAAACACGTGTCCCTATTTGAAAACGGTCCAAACCACATGTATCTTTTCTGTATTTTTCCCTTAAATTTATCACTTAAGCTCATATATTAAATAAAGAGTTTATATGATTAATTGAGGATATTTTTACTTGCATTTATTTCAATCCTAAACCAGATCAGATCAGTTCAGAACAGATTATATCATATTAGACTTCAACCATTCTAAAATACATAAATATCAAATATCTACCATTATTACCGGACAATATATACTAGGCCAGTTCAGACCATAAAATTTCGGTCCAAGTAAAACTATCCTGAAAAATAAATACATCGGCTATAGTACAACTACTGAAAAATGAATAATAGCACGATATACTTTATATTGGCATCAACTGATGTTTATATATAGAATTATAGATTCTCTATTCTTATCATTAATTCTTGATTTACACATACTTTATACATGTATTATGTACACCATCTAGTTGTCCGTCTAAAAGGCCGTTTCTAAACGAATTGCAGGGACGGATGCATACACAAATTATACCGTATCGGCATACCATGTGCATGGTATGCCCGGTTCAATACGGCATCGTTTATGTAAATAAAAATTCAATCATCTCTATCTCTTGGTCAACAATTCCCGTTCTTTTCTAGAAATCTCCACCGGCCCGTGTACAACCTTCAAACAATCTACCGATCAACGAATTCCAGCAATCATTCTTAATACTTCCATAGATTCAATTGCACATATATCTCCTCACCGAAGAGAAAGGATGAATCGCGATATGCAGAAAAGATTAACTAATAGAGAATTCAATTGAGATATAGAACTAGCGCACAACCTTTGCTGAGATGTTGACGCAATGAATTCTTCCACGGATTTGAATTGGGGCACCAATTGAATATGAAGCTCATCTATTTCAATGTATATGGTGATTTACCATAGTCGCACATATATTTGTAATTTTAATTTTATACATAAAAGAATTTTTATTAATCTAAAAAAGGTTTAGCAATCTGCACCTCCATTCCTTCTACTGATCTCCAACACTAATGGCATTAATGGAAATAACCAGATTACATATGTATTCCTCCAGTTACATTTGCTAAGTTACATTTGCTAATTAATGGAGTTACATCTTTTTATGAATGATTTACATCTTCATGTGAATGAGTTACATCTTTTTATGAACGGGTTACATCTTCTGAAGCGCAAGTTACATCTTCTGAAGTGCGACTTACATTAAGATTTGTCTTAACAAGTTACATTTTGTATACACCTAAGTTAATGCGAGTTACATTTGTAATAATATGAGTTACATTAAAAAATCAACTCCTGCTATTGAAAAAAATGATCTTTTTTAAAAAACTATTTTTTATGGCCATGATATTAAAAACAAAACATAATCACATTTTTACCTAAAGCAATTGTGCAATTAGACTCTCTCTTTTCATTGTTTAAATTGAAATCAATATTTGACAAGTTACATTTTGGATGAGCTTGAGTTACATTGATCAATAATGCGAGTTACATTTCATTACACACGAGTTACATCACATTTTGTTCCTGAACAATGAAAAATGAAAAACAAAAAAAAGGTTACTGTTCATGCGCGTGAACAGTAACACGCGAATATTTAGGTTGGAGCAGCATGTTTCAAACGACGTCGTTTGAGCACAAGAGCATAATGCTCATGCTGCGCCGGTTGCAGCGTATAGGCACTGGATGCATATGGTAAACAATGGGGGCACATCCCCCAATTAAATGTGAAACTTATATTTAAGTGTTTGTATTTTAATAAATAAAGTAGTAGTGCCTCAATGGAAAAAAAGGAGTGTCCCCAATGTAAAAAAAACAGAGTGCCCTCATTAACTTTTACCTGGACACAAACACTCCCTTTGCGGCCAAATTACCAAATTTATAAAAAGGAGTGGTTTAGCAAATTGGTAAGACAAA